AACGATAATACAAATAACACGCCTGTTGAAATGGAGGCACGTGAGATTCTCACGTGACTCCTTTTTACAAATATTTTATTTGACAAATGAAATGTTTTAAGGGAAAATTGCAGGTCTCTAACCTTCCACTTTTTTACAGACTTTACCGTAATCTTCATTTTGTGTCAACCGCAGTCCCAAACTTTAAAAAAAATGTACATGGAGTCCGTTCCATCCATTTGACCATTAGTTAACAAAAAAAATGATTTTAATCAAATTTAGTAAGGACAAAATTATAACTTCGAAATAAATTAATCAAAATAAATAAATAAATAAAATATCAAAAAATTTTATAAAATAAATAAAAGAACAAAAACTCCCCACCCACACACGCACACCCCCATTTCCCCCCAAACCAAAGTCATACCCAATCATCACACCGTCTTCCATCGTCGTCGCCGCCATCTTCCACCGCCTTCTCCACTACAATTTTCACCATGACAACATCTACCTACTTCAACCCCCATCCCACCACAAGATTTAAGAATTGCAATATTCAAGAAATCTACCCACGAGTACTAATACTTTGGTCACGCTCAAACTGGAATAGCTCTTGGCAACTTGTAATCGATGGGTGAACTCCATGACTTTCAATCTATAATATCTCTATTTCTAATAGGTGTTGTTTCTGTTACCCCTATGTTGATGGGCAAAACCATGAGATCTCTCATCAATATTGCAAGCAAAGTTCCGACAAATCTCTAGAGACGGTTTGTTGTACAAAAATTCGTAGGTTGAGAAATTTCAGCAAAATTTTAAAAAACCCAAAATTTTTGGGTTGAGAAATTGAGAAATGGAGTTCCAAGCTATGGTGTCGATTGAAAAACTGTTGGTTTTATAAGGTTTAGGATTTTGGAGAATTGGAATTGGGTTTGAGCTATGGAGGGAGTTCCGAGCTGTATAACGTAGAAAATCCACAATTTCTCACGCATAATTTGGAATTGGAATTAAGTTTTTGTTCCAAGCTGTATAACTCAGAAAATAGGTAGTTTTCTTGTTTTGATTTTTGGGTGTGCATTGGCTTGGAAGGTGGTTGTGGTGGTGGAGGCTAGTTCTGGTCGAAAAGGGTAACGTTTATGGCCATTCGTGGCAGTTTTTGGGGAGGGGGTGGGGTTTATATAATTCTGAAGTTAACATTTTGCCCATACTAAATTTGGTTAGAATCATTTTTCTTGGTCAATTAACGGTAAAATGAATGGTAGGAGCCATGTTCATATTTTTGAAAGGTTAGGGACCGCTGTTGCAATTTTCCCATGTTTTAGTTGGTTGTCTTCTTCAACTAGCTAGGAAGAATATTCTGTATTCGATTCTTTTTAGGATAGCTTTTGGTAGTTTAGTTATCAGCTGACTTTGGGTTTAAAGTTTTTATTTAGAGAATCCATTTGCAGAAGTAATGCTAGAATTCGATGCTTTTGAATTTTTATTCTATATGTTAGTAAGTTACATAAAGAAAAAGAATAAAAAAACGTACTCTACGGTTGGGAAATATTTGAACACTGCCAAAACTAATTAGTTCAATACTTTAGTTCCGACGAACTACTATTTTCTAGCACTATTTTGGTAGCGTTCAATTGAGAGGTATGAGAGAGTGAGTTGGTTGACATCTCTACTTTATCTACTAAAGGGATTTACTATGTAAGAATCGAACTTTGTTTTGCACTAAAAGCCTAGCCATCACTTCAAAGAGACTCTACTTATTAACAAGTATATACGAAACGAGTTTTCTCATCTAATAGCTCAAGGTATGGCAACCTTGGATGTGATGCTCGAAGCTTCATCTTTTGAGAAGAGTGTGCTCTTTCAAACCCTGGAATTCACATTGTTGTCAAATGGTGGTGTACTCAGTCTTCACTCAAAAGATATGGTATATAAAGAAGAACAAAAAATAAAGAGATTAGTTGGGAGTCAAAGAAACGAGTCGAGCCAATCATTGTATATACTATAGAGACACGATCAAGGCATGCCCAACCAATGTGCTTATTTCACACGATATGCACTAAGTGCATTTGATTGTAAAGGTGGAAAATGGGTGGAAAGAAAATGTTTTATAAAGAAAAGATTTGCCTAAAAAATGTTTTGCAGGGGAAATGATTTCAATTGTGTTTGATTGGTATAATTTT